TATAGTGAAACTGTATTTTGGGATCAGAATTTATAAGTTTACCAAAATGCGTAGCTTGAGCAGCTAGCTGTAGTACTATGGCAAATATATTACATATCATGTCAATCTTATTTGAAACCTATGTTTTCTTTTAAAATAGTTTTTGAGATAATGCTAAATGTTTTATAAAAAGATAATTCCATTACTTGTTTTGAAAAGAAGTTTCAAAAAAGAAAACAGTTTGGAAGAAACACTAAAAATTTAAAGAAGGTAGAACAAAATAATAGATATCATTTTTAAAAATGAGGAGTGAACAGGAATAGGTTAATAAAAGATGTGTAAGCACTCTATACTTTCCATAGAAAAAAAGCTGTGAGCTATAATTTTTATTCTTATAGCTGATTTTGACTTTTTGTGACATTTGCTTTTATTTAACATTTTAATTTTCTATACTATTGCTTTCTTGAATTATGGAATGGAATTTTTATTCATTCATGAACTTATAGGACACTTTTCTATCACTAGCTTTTATAACTTAAGATCATTAAGGCTACATTAAACTATGATATTTTACATACCAGAAAAATTAATGATTTATGTAGGAAATCAGATTCTTTGATTTGACAGCCTTTTCTTTAACCTGAACAGGTGAGGTTCACGTCCCTGGGATTAGGATCGGCGCTGACCACCCTTGAATCTGGCTGTGCGGCCTTGGCGAACAGTTGTCAGAACATTTCGGGCGGGCTCTGGGGAACTGTGGTGAACATTCTCCTGGACCAGTGGGAATGCAGCGTGGTGCGCCGGGAGGTACGCCGGGGCCTGGCCCCCTCCCGCCTCCCTGAGAAACGCGTGAGGTCTTCATAAACCATCCCAGTGGTCAGCAGGTGGACTGGCCACCGCCCTGTGTCTCTTCTGCCTGCGAAAAGCCCCAATAAAGCAGTGGTAGGGAATGAAGAAGGTATTCACAGGCAACACTGGAGTCGTTTATTCTGATAAGGTTATGGCAGAATTTGGTATATTTTAATATGAGCCCTTCTATTACACATTGAAAAGTAGTTCACAGAAAAACACTTTACATTACCTCAGTGTTTATGGGTCTCCAATGTTAATAAAGCTTTAGTTAAATAAGGGGCTGTCCAATTATCCATAGTATTCATCACAGGCCAGGTAGGAGGAAAAGGAAACCCTCTTCTAACTCTTTCCAAATAGTTTGTAGTTTTCTTTCATTGCTGCTTTTATCAAAGTGACGAGTGATACAAATAGTTTTAAAAACACAAATTAAACCATGCTTAGAGTCCTATAAAGAAAACAGCAGCTA